GTGCCTCGCTCACCCTCTATAGAAATGAAGAGCTGAAGCATGAGCAAGAAATAAAGAGCTGGCGGTGGGCAGTGGGAGGGATACTTTCAGTGGTGTGAGGAGTGCATGCATTGATGTGTACAGGGCTAGGGATGTGCTCTCTGTTATGTAGCATGCCCATTCCCCTTTCCGCTAGTGAGATCCCTCACCCCAGTAACTGCTCACAGCATTTAAAAGACAACCCACCTGCTTGGCCCATCGTGGCTACTACAGTAACACTGCATGATGCTTTAAGAGCCTGTTACCTGAGAAATTTTCTGGGACAATAGAATTAGAGCATCTTCAGCTGCATATGAGCGAGGGGAAGAAAGGGGGCAATGACTGTATTCTTCTTGACCACCATCCTTTCTCCTGCTGAGATGTTCAAAGTTTAGGAAAGTCAAGAGCTCGAGCATGCACTTAGCACGCATCAGGGAGAGTTGTTAAATTTTGTTCAGAATTTAATATCCTTTTGGCTGAGGATGTGGATTTGGGCCTCAAAATTAACACTCTCGAATCTGTATTTATTCAGATAAATAAATGAAAATTGCTTTCCTGCTAGTTTATGCAGGGCTTTCTGAGACTTCTCACTGATGAGTTCACAGAATCACGGAATTGCCTAGATTGAAAAAGACCTTCAAGATCATCAAGTCCAGCCATTAACCTCACACTGACAAGTCCTGACTAAACCATGTCCCTAAGCACTATGTCTACACACTCTTAAATACCTCCAGGGATGGAGACTCCACCACTGCTGCCCTGGGCAACCCATTCCAATGCCCAAGAACCCTCTCAGTAAAGGAATTTTTCCTCACATCCAATCTAAACTTCCCTTGGTGCAACTTGAGGCCATTTCCTCTCATTGTATCACTTGTTACTTGGTTGAACAGACTGACCCCCACCTCTCTACTGTTCTGTGCTACTTGTAGCGTTTCTATCCTTCCACTTCTGTGCAAGGTCTCAGAGCTCTTTCTGCAGAGTCCTGTTACTCTTTAGTCCTGTCCTGCCACACAGATGCATAGCTCACTAGATCTGCTGACGCGCCTTTTCATGTTGCATGTATCAATGCAGGTGAACTCCAGAACCGGTTTCAGAGTACAAGAAAACTACTTCTATGTGACTCAAGTGAAAGAGATTATCAGATTGTATTCGTTCTTTAATATAGGAGTAAGTACAAAGTCTTGCCAGCAGCACAAACCACTTTTTTTTTCTGTTTTATTTAAATGAATTGATATATATGAAAGTTAACTCTAGACTCTAGCCTAGTATATCTCAAAGACAATACATTTTCCCTAGGCCTCCAGCTATTCTAAATCATGCAAGCTATTTACCTCCCAGTATTTTAGCAGCTACAATAGTTCCTTTCCTGAGATGACCCCTGGTTCTGAGTCAGAGCTGTCCTCCAGCACCTTAAGCAGCTCTACTTGCTTTGAACTGGTGATCAGTGTGAAGTAGCGCCATGAAGGATAGCTGCTGTATTTCTTGTTACTCTGGATTTTATTATGTTTAATTAACAGAAATATTGTGAGGTCTCTTTAAACTTTTATGTAGAAACCCTATTGAGCATTTCAATTTGCTTATATCTAAAAACAAAGCTGTGGTAATAAAAAATAATCTGTGAAATGGTTCATTTCTCGATGACACGAAGGAGAGAAAATCAGCTACCAAACTCAATCAGTGTCACAGGAAGCAGCATGAAATGGAAATGTGGATAGTAGGACCTTCCTTAGGCAAAAAATGCAGTTTTCTGGGAACGTGGCTGGTATTTGCAGGGCAACTGCCCAATTCTTCCATAAGCTTTCATTTGCTATTGTACCAATTAACCAGAGTGGAAGAGGAGGTTTGAGAAACAGTATAGAATCAAAATAGGACATTACCTTTAGTTGCTGCCTTATCACGCTGGAGGTATAACACTTTGGATTAGATTATTTTGTATACCAGTACCTACTTTTGGTATTACAGATAATAAACCAAACAGTTTTTAATGATATACCATAACCTGGGTATCCAGGACATTTTTACTCTATGTTTTGGTTTAGCTGAGTTATGGAAGATACTTTTAAAATCACTATCTCTGTTTTATTCTTGGGGCATGGTAGTACAAGTGTGTGCCTGCACAGAGAGTTCAGATGCCTCTCTGTCAGGGTTTCGCACTCACAGAAGTGTTTAAAAGCTGCTTTTAGAAAGTGTGCCTGTGTTGGTGTAGTGTTCATGTACGCAGCAAGGGCATGTGTCAGAGATGCAGGCGTTTGCCAGAGTACAGACTAGCAGTTCAGTCGGCACATGCACCCCTGAACTCTGATTTTGCAAGAGAAAATCAAGACGTCTTTTTCCTTCTTCCTTGTCATTTCAGGTGGCCCTATGGAAGCTGACCAAATATCCATGCATCTTTGACATGCAGGACAAGATGGACATTCATCGTATAGAACGCAACA